ACTGGAAGATGGATTGGAATACCCAAAGAAAACAGAACTTGTAATCTTTGTTTTAATGAAATTGGTGATGAATATCATTATCTATTTAAGTATGAACATGTATCTGTTAGACAAATAAGACAACTATTTATTCCAAATTACTACTATACTTACCCTAGCATTATTAAAATGCTTGGACTATTTACTATATGCAATTTGAAAGTTTAAAAAAATGTTACCAAATTTCTTGAAAACTTGAAAAGCTATTGAATGTATGTAATTAGTTTGTAGCCTTTATGCCTTTGTTATCCGCCATGTATATATATGATTATGATACATATTGACCTCTTGTTACATACTTTGTATGTCTGAGAGAAATAAAAATCTGAAATCTGAAAACAAATATCACACCTAAGTAGGCAAAAGGGGCTTGTTCTCAGTTCCCCTACTTTTTAAAATAAGAGTGGATCGAGATGATTTTCGTTATTGAACCAAGATGTTATAACTTACATATGTATAGAGAAAAACTTATTACAAAAAGAAAGATTCTTAACAACGAGTCTTAAGTACTTTCATCTCTTCTAGGAGATTCTTCAGACTACTGAAAAACTTATATATGTATAGAGGAAAAAATCATACATTGTAATTTGAATATTCTCGAGATAAATATGATTTACCGCTGCATATAAGTGTAGCATAAAATGTAATGTGTAAGCTCAAAACTAGTGTTAGTTCGCAATCTCACGCCATGCAGCTGTTCTCGATCACGCCTGCTACTTCCATGGTAGTTGCAAAGTCGATTAACTTCTGACGTCACAGCCAAAAAGTACCCAATCCCCGGAATTTACGATAAGGCTAATTAGAAGTTGAAGGACAGGTGAAAATTGTACAATTTATACGCCAATATCTCGGTACTTGGATGACCGATTTTTATTCAGTGTCCGACATTTTTGTTCTATTTTCGTTCAGGGTAGACTTTAATGTCAATTACACATTTACATGTAATACCACAGACTTAGATAACATAATCGAATTCCGTGGTAATACAGACTACATTCATGTAATTTCGATATGTGCGTACAAATCAACTCACAAACACACAACCTCGGTCGGCCTCTGTGACGATATCGTTACCCAACAGTTTTTGCGTGCCTTTTAATCGGTGACAAATCGGATGTTACCCACGACGACAACAAATGATGTCTTTCTTTCTTGTGCCTTTGGTAAGAGTGATTATGACGTCATTTCTTTAAATAATTAACACAAACAAGAAAGTCCAAAAATGATTTATTCAGCAAAACCACTTCTCCTTTATACAAACCATGATCAACGAATGCAAATATAATATCGATTCAACTTCAAACTAACACAAAGATACAGTGAAATCTCATAAATCTGGAGCATTACCGCGAAATCCCGTCGACCGGAGTAATACCTTACACTATAAGTTAGGCAAATAGGAGCACGGACTAATAGCAAATCTAATCTATTTCTGTGAAATTGCATTTATCCGGTCTAGTACCGAAAGATCTCATTTATCCGAAGTAGTACCGTTCAATCCCGTTAATCCGGAGTAGAACAGATGAGTCTACAGTCCTGTAATACGGAGAAGTACCGTACATATTCTGTTTATCCGGAGTAGATAGGTATAGATACAGGAAATACTATTCATAGTCAGATAATGCAGCAAATCTTTGTTTATAAGATTTAGTCGAATCACAAAGTGCTCCGATTACATGTAATGAGAGCTATTCTGTGTTGCAATACACAGTTCAGAGCTTGACAGACAATGAACAGGACATATACAGACATCACTCTTAAAATTAATGGTTAAAGTCATTACTTAATTTCAACACGAATATGGAACGGAGGGGAAACCATGGGAGGGCATTTAATGAAAGCTCAAAGTTTGTTTTTCATGTAAAATCCCTTAACTATTGTGGTCAGCGGTGGCCAGTTAGTGTCATGTGATCCTCGTACTGAAAGTCCTTAGATTTTGAGAACGTGTTATTCCAAATCGTGCCGCTTTTGATTATCATATACACGGGGGTAACCCCGATACTCGCTATTTCGCTTACGTCGGAGTAATACTCGCTGTTTGGATATCGTTGGAGCAAAAAGTTAGTTTTGCGCCAAATACGGCTTACGGCAGAGTAAAATGATCCCATGATGGAAGAACGTGAGAGGTATTTTTGCGCTTTCTTGTATAAATACTGAAAACCATTGTAACTCAGCCTATATGCTATAAGTATGTCTCAAGCTACTATAGCAATATATATTTTTTTTAATCAAATTGGTTTTGACTGAATAATCATATATATATATATGACTCATCAACAAAACAACATTGAATAGTCTGAACTGAACACAAGTTTTAGCGATATGGATGATACGGATTACGTTCGTTTACAAAATGGAATGATACGGATTTCGGTCAATCAATCATATTTCAATTAAATGAAAATCAATATTTTAACAAATTTAAGGATATTTTCTCGGCCACAGAGCATCACATAGAATGTTTAGAATTTACTTTCTTACGTTTTCTAGATCTGAGTCTGAGACTTCCCAAAAGTTTGATTATTTTCTTCTGTGATTTAATACCACACTCATTACAAATTTGGCCGTCATTTGGGGTAGATGTGTATCAGTTATATAGACCCAATATGTTCGTAATCATGAAATCTAGACAGGTGCTATCGGAATAAAATAATTATCAGACACTTATATAAACTTACATTCTTATTCATAAACTTACATTCTTATTCATATCACTTATATTGCATTCACCACACACTGCAGCTCGCACATGTATGCACCACTATCAAAAAACAAAATCACGTGACTAAACAAATGAAGTATGTTTCCAATGGAAATTTCTATTGTCAAATAAAAACAATGATTCTGTCTCGGACTCACTTAAGTTCAACTCATAAGTTATATTTACTAACTAGAAACTTAAAAGGTAAAAAAGCTACTTATTGACGGGCAGTAACTTTTATTTCAAGAGAGGGAGTTCGTAATGCGACCTCACAAACTTTAACAACTAGAACTGTAAGCTAAAGGCCAACTAATACCCCCGCTCCTATATCAACCAGAGCTGTAAGCTAAAGGCTAAGTAAGGTAAAGCATTGCAAAGCAATCCTTACTTTCCCACCATTAATGGTTTCTTCATTCACTGAGTTGTACACTTATTTAAGTATACAGGTAACTGACATACTTTCTGTACTCTCTCCCAATGGCAACACGTACTTGCAAACCAAATAGTGTTAGCTCAGATGAACCAGTTTAGATGCAATCGTCATAGTAGTTAAGGAAGAGTTGCCAGGACAAAGATTTCAAACAAAGGACCATAACTCCTTAACAAAAAGTCGAAATGAAAAAATACTACCCTGATGCACGACATCAGGGGGTAATTACCATATCTGTAAACTTTCATTGAAATCGGACCAGCAGTTTAGGAGACAGTTTTTTTTCAACAAAGGACCATAACTCCCTTTAAAAAAAGTCTGAATGAAAGAAATACTACCCTGATGCACGACATCAGGGGTTAATTACCATATCTGTAAACTTTCATTGAAATCGGACAAGTAGTTTAAAAGACAGACAGAGGTTTTTTTTTCAACAAAGGACCATAACTCCGTAAAACAAGTGAGAAAGAACAAATAATACCTGGATGCACAACATCAGGGGGTAGTTATCATATCTGAATTCGTTGAAATTGGACCAGTAGTTTTTGAGAAGTTGTCAGGACAAGGATTTTTCAACAAAGGACAATTACTCCATAAAAAAAAGTGAGAAAGAAAAAATAATAGCTGGATGCACAATATCAGGTGGTAGTTATCGTATATGGAAATTGTCGTTGAAATTGGTCAATTACTTTAAAAAGGAGTTGTCTGGACATACTTTTTCTAGGGCCAGATATGCTGATTCCAGTATACCCCCTAACTTTGTTGCGGGGGTATGATAACATGTATAACTTGCTTACTCAAGTGATATATAACAATTACATGACTGACATGTTGAGGGTATGTAAAAGAGTAACATAAATTCATTTTCAAAGTTATTTTGTCTCTCAGAGCTAATAATTTCTTTATATTGGCATGCCTTTTCCAAATAAGGGGAGGGAACCAGTGATTGTTATGGCTCAACATTACCTAAACTATGAGTGTGTTGGTCAACATGTAACACCACCACAACTATTGTGCCAGTTTTTTTACATAATGACAAGTTACATAACTCACCTGAAGAGACGGAGATATAAAATAGTGATAAAAACCCTCGCACGATAATCGATTTAATACAACGTAATCCGTATCAACATAGAACGTAATCCGTGTATCAACTAAAATTGATCATGTTCGTAATCCGTATCAGCAGTATTAAATAGCAGTTTATGCACACATGTAATGTCCATGTGATACATTAATATATTTAATAATAATAGTATTATTCGTTCTATTATTGTAGCTTTTTACTCCATTTCAATGACACGTGGAATCGTTTTATTCATCTTTATATCAAACACATGTAGATTTGTGTATTATGTCAGAATAGTATCAAATCTACTATGACTCGTGTATGTGATAGTATCTATACCTTCAGCAGGCTTTTTGTTATCATTGTTTCAACTTTGTTACTTACATCACATCATTATACTTACGTAATCTTGTATTTTGCCGCAACACTCTTCCAATCGTGGGAGAATTTTTTCTCTGCCGTAAGCCATATTTGATGCAAAACTAACTTTTTGCTCCGACGTAATCCAAACAGCCAGTATTACTCTGACGTAAGCGAAATACATAGAAACCAGAAAATGCAGATGAGTATGTCGCCTAAGTAGTACTATAGAATCTCGTTAAAACAGAACACATGTTTGCAATTTACTAACCTTTCTGGATAATTTGGCGGTTTTGTACTAAAATAACTGATTGAAATACTTTGTTCTAAATTCTATGAATAAATCGATGATATATCAAGGATGAGACTTTTTAATATTTAAAGAATAAATAACGAATGCAAAATGACGGATTTATTTATATCATGCAACATTTATACATTTGTAATACACTAAAAAACATAATAAACATTATTCTATCACGTCACAACAATTAATAAACATGTCGTCGGCGTATTGTCCTTTTCGGCAGTTTAAGTTAGTTTTCCCAGGTCTGTTAAAGGTGCAAGGTGATGTATGCACTGTACACACCTCCGCAGCGACATGTACTGAGCTGACCTTAATCAACACATTATACTTTTATTTAGATGGATACAGACACAAATGTGTCATTGAACCTCAGATTAGTCTTAAGTACACATGTAAAAAAAAATAGTCACAATGGTAATAATACAATCACCTCCGTTTGTCCCGTGTATGGCTTAAATTCCTTGGGTTTTTGATGAAGAAGCACACATATTGACCATACGTTCTAGACACAGAAAACGTCACCGTGTTTAGGAGGTATGTTTAGTGACCTGAACACCTGTTTGGAAGGTGCATTAGGATGCATGGATAAATCTCGTGCAATTCTTAATTATAAGGTGATGCTATTTTTTAAAAACATAAATCGAAGATACAATGTGTAGGTGCATTGTACACGTAGCATATAGCCTTAACTTTAACATAAATCACAGGTATAATATGTAAGGTAGCATACATCCTTAACACAAATCACAGGTATAATATGTAAGGTAGCATACATCCTTAACATAAATCACAGATGTAATGCACGAGGAGGCATTACCATTGTTACACTGTATATTATAAACCAGTCACGATTACAAAAGCAGTATTTCCTGTTTATCATATCAACAGATGTTTGTCTCAAAAAAGTAAATTGAACTTTTCATAATGCATGTATATACAAACAATTAAGATAACAGATATATACACGTGAAACTGAATTCGCCTTCTTATCTGTCGATCATAATCAGACAGTCGAAAGTTTATCTGCAAATCATGAATTCAGTGAATTAAACAGCCATCCCCTTAGGCCAACATACTGAATTCATCACACATCCGTTTCCAGTTGAAGGCCGTGTCTTTATGTTCCTATAATCCTATAACCAGCTGTTTCAAACATCAAATGGTGAACCGGCAGCCTCTTCCTCTTTATGAGTTTGCCTTTTTGAGTTCCTCGTCCAGATCTGTCCCCGGTTCCAGCGGATCCGCCCCCTCATTCAGCAGTGCATCCGGTACATACTCTGTTACAACGTCAAAGCAATGTAAGACAATGTTACATAGACAAACATCCCACGGTATTCTAATGAGCGAAATAAGGAGGGCCAAAATTGGTTTCCTTTTCGGTTCTTTTACCTTTTTCCGCTTAAAAATATCACTTTCTTACACGTGTGGAACGTATTGTGTTATGTAATGGTGAAATCTACATGGTAATCCATTTGATAACATATGGATTATTTAACATAGGTACAATGTGAATAACAATCTACTTAGTATACCACCAGAGCGATATCTAGGGGAACTCTACTAAAATACCGGTAGAATATTTGGAGACACTCAAATTGCCATTAAAGCCGCACAATATTTTCAGAATTATACATTGTATATCATTTGAATCTTATATATTGACCTGTACACTATTTCAGGTAAGCAATGTAAATACATACCGTTACAATGTAGATACATACCGTTACATTGTAGATACATACAGTTACAATGTAGATACATACCATTACACCGGTACAATGTAGATACATATCATTACACCGGTACAATGTATAGATACATTACATCACACCGGTACAATGTAGATACATAACATTACACCGGTACAATGTATAAATACATATCATCACACCGGTACAATGTAGATACATAACATTACACCGGTACAATGTATAGATACATATCATTACACCGGTACAATATATATACATACCATTACACCGAAACATTGTATATACATACCATTACACCGTTACAAAGTACAGATACATACTATTACCCCGGAACAATGTATACATACATACTATTACAACGTTACAATGTATATACATACCATTACACCAGTACAACGCAGATACATACCATTACACCGGTAAAATGTAAATACATACCATTCCACCGGTACTATGTAGATACAAACCATTACACCGTTACAATGTAGATACATACCATTACAACGGTACAATGTATAGATACATTCCATTACACCGGTACAATGTATATACATACCATTACACCGGTACAACGCAGATACATACCATAACACCGGTACAATATATATACATACCATTACACCGGTACAATGTAGATACAAACCATTACACCGGTACAATGTATAGGTACATACCATTACACCGGTACAATGTATATACATACCATTACACCGGTACAATGTATATACATACCATTACACCG